ATATACTTTATGCTTTTTGCCTTTTTTCACAAAATTAACAGGTAATTTTATAAGAGTAAATTTTAGGTTTAGCAAACATAAAAATCGTATTAGCGCTTTATAGCTAAAGTTTTGCTATTTGAGAATAAGCATTGGATTTGTATAAATTGCAGGCAGGAGTCTCATTTGTATAAAAACGCAGCGATATATGTATATCAGTTAGATAATTGTATATATGTAACTACTATGTATATGTATCAATGATTTTGTTTGTATATCTACATAAAATTTGAGTTTGTATTCAATTGAATCGAAATAAAATATTTGTATATTAAATCTGAGTAATTTCCCTAGATAGTCACCCATGTTTGGAAAATTACTTAGAAATATCACTTATGTTTGTTTTAGGACTACAATATCACTCAACTTTACATATTTTCCTCAAAATATATTTGACACAATAAATACATTATCTCTTTCCTACTAGGATGCCATGTCACATTATTCTTTTTTTTTTTAATTATTAACAATTTTTTTAAAAATTTTAGACAATCCATACATTATACCCAATAAAAAAAATTTACATAACGAACTCTAATATGAGCTCCTCCGATTCTTCAAGAAAATATGTGGTTTCTCCGGTTCTTCAAGGAATAAATTAACGAATTTGCATAAGGAACTGTCTCCTAAGCCGCTGTATACCTTTGATGACCAAAGAAATCGCCACGAGGTAAAACTCAAGTTTTCTTTTGATTCTTTTATTTTTGAAGTGTAAATTGTGAAATAATTTGAATACTTAACATGCTATTGGAGTAATTTTCTTAAAATTTAGGGGTTTTTTGCTTGCTTGTTTTTGAATCAGATATTTCTATTGTATAAATCTGCCTAAGCTTTGAACGAATGTTTATAGTGTGTGTAAAAATCTTTTTTTTACCATGAACAAGAAACCTTTGATTTTTCACCGTGAACAAGCAACGGATATTTATAATTTGTGTAAAAATCAATGTTTCTAATATCTAGTTTATCTCTAAATATCCAACTAAATTTATTGTTTCTTCATCAGCTTCAAGTAACTAGTTTAATTTTTTCCTCGACAACAAGACTAAATTTTTGTATGGATATAACGGCAAATACTCGTAAATGAAACATAGGATAAAGAGTTTAGCTATAGAATTGAAGTAACTACATTTTCATAGATAATGGATTAATGCTCTCTTATATATACATTAAACAAGCTGTCATTTAAAGAATTAAAAAAATATTATTAATAAATTAAACATGGCATCCTAGTGAGAGATAATGTATTTTTTGTGTCAAGTATATTTTGAGGAAAATAGGCAAAGTTAGATGATATTATAGTCCTAAAATAAACTTAAGTGATATTTCTAGGTAATTTCCCAAACATGGGTGACTATCTAGGGAAATTACTCTATTAAATCTATCTCGCGCCTTATACAACACAAATTATACATTGTAATTTGTATAATTTGTATTAATATAAAACGAGAAAGAGAGAAAGGCAAAAGAGAACTGGTAGCAGAAGATTTGTATTAGTATAATTATAAGTGTTTAGAAGGAAGATATATGTATTTGTATCTGTATATACAGTTTTCTCTCGCTTTATACAAACACAAACATAATTTTTATGCATTTGTGTTTGTATGAAGTGAGAGAGGCGAGCGAGATCAGGGGAGGGACTGACACTCGAGAACCATTATTGACCCCACACAAACCCTTGGCCTGACTTACTTACTCAGCGGAAGACTTAACTCAACATAACTGTACCTTTAAAAGTAAATTGAAAGATCAAAATATAACTTCGAATGTATTACGATAACATTCACTGGCCAAGTGGCAACTCAAGTCTCAAACATAAGACAATAACAAGATAATGACAAATGAACTAACTAACTGTCTATGAAGCCTCTAATAACTGAGATGGATGTCGGGACAAGACCTACGACATTCTAATGAACTAAAATACTGAAAAGCAATACAAATGGGATCTTCCGGAAGCAAGGAGGCTCACCGACAACTCTGAAGCTCAACTGGATCAACGATGCGTTGGATGTTGTCTTGGTTACTTGAATCTACATCATAAAAAGATGCAGGCCAACTGACATCAGTACATTGAATATACGAGCATGCAAGAGGAATACTAAACAAGACATAAGCTTGAAAGGAATATACATGGGCTCAACTCAACTCAACTTAACTCATTTCAATATAAAGCAATAATATGAATGCAATATAAAGAAAAACTTTTAAAACTTGGATAATAACTCTGTGTATTTAGAAATACAATAGTAACTCTGTATGTATGCAAAAATACAATATAAACTCTGGAATGTATATAAAAATACAATTTACTTCTGTGTATATAAGAATAAAAAATACTTTTGTGGGAGTTTCTCTAATCGACAACCATCACTTAAGAGCTATTGTGATGATACAACGTTTTGTCTCACGTTGTCAAGGCCGTCTTATACCTTGCCGATGGCATAGAACCTGACTACTAAGTGGATCCACTAATCTATGCTAAAAAGCACTAAAGAATCATCTAAAAAATATGACTTTTTTCTACCCATGATGGCTAAATGGTTTATAGGGCCTGAGAGTTGTCTGAACTCTCCCCTATATCGGTGTTCAATACTACTCCCAAAATATAATACTAGCTATTATGTTTAAAAACATAACTTTTTTCTGTGGTTTGAGATACTTGCTCAAAACTTAGCTCAAAGTCTCTCTTGGAAATCAACGTTTCCTCTCTTGCTTAATTGTGAAAGCATTTACTCTTTACTGAAAAACTAGTTCAAAGGCTCTTTTGGAAATCAAAGTTTTCTTTTTTTCTTAAATGTGAAAACATTTACTCTTTGGAAATACATAGTCCCAATATACTCTTTTGAAGAAATGAACTTCAATCTTTACTCTTTACTCTTTACTCAACTCAAAACTCAAGTCTTAAAACAAAGTTATACATTTGTAAAAGACTTTTGAAAAACTCTTATGAACTTCTCTTGACTTGACTCTTAACTTCTCTTGACTTGACTCTTAACTTTCCTTAAATTGAATTATGGATTCAAGGCTCATGATCTCATGTTATGGATGATTTCATGTTGTTTAGACGTACCTTAGAGTGTAAAAAACAACTAGGAAACATAGGTACGTTTAAAGGAAACTTGTACAGAAAGAAGTGAGAAAGGTAGAAGACCTGACATCCCTGACGCTCTGAGTGGCGCGAAGCGCCAGAGGTAAAACTTTAGTTACTGGGTTGAGGCGCATTGGCTGGCGTGGCGCCCAAGAGCCCAAACTTCAGAACCCCAACTGGGGCGTTCTGGCTAATGCGGCACCCTAGACCCCTGCCTAAAAAATCTCTGATTTTTCTTGCTCGTTTTTCAACTCTAGGCCTTCTAGATTCAATTGGTTCTTTCCCCAAACACTTAGATTCGACTACATAACCAAATTATGCAAGAATCTACTCAAAACGACATCTAATTTCATGAATTTAAATCAAGAACTTCTCAACAACTTCAACAATCAAGAACCCAATAGAAACTTCAAACAAATCCATCAAGAACTCAATGTCTATACTTTCAAGAACATAATTTCGCTAAATAGAATCATGATTGACGTGTGATGAACTAACCCAATGCTATGTGATCTCATATACCTCGTAAGGATCAACCGTTGGCCAAATCCTCAAGCAATTCTTCAAGAACCCGACGATTCCAAGCTTCTTCTCCTTTTTTCTTCTCTTTTTTTCTCTTCTCTCAAAACCCTAACTTATTTTTATGAAGCGTAAACTGAATCCAATCAGTTGAGACCCCAACTTAATTATCAAAAATGAATTTAACTAATTGGGTAGTGAAAAGACCATAACACCCTTCTAAAATCCGGTTGACTTTCCTTATCTAGACAACCCAACTTCAAATGGGCATATCTCCCTCATACGAACTCAAAACTGATCAAACTTGGTGGCGTTGGAAAGATAATTCAAAGATATTTCCTACGGTATCTTGTAGCACACCCAACTCATCCTGAGCTAGGAGTTATGGTCGTTTGAAGTTGACCCAAAACTCATACTTAGCTTAATTTTGTCAAACTTTTCAAATTTGATTATTTTCAAAAACGGTTTTTTTCTAATTCTAAGTCTTTCTAGTAGTGGGGTGTTACACAGGGAGAGTGGCGAGCGAGATTTTTAGGGAGAGAAGCAAATGTAAAAGTGTTTGCTACAAATTGGAATTAAATGAAACTGTAGTTATAACATTCAATTTTAATTAATAGTTTGCTATTTTATACAATTTTTCCAATTTTATATTATCACACAATCTAAGTAGTATTCACTTGAAACTTTTCCATGACTAAATATGGGTTTACTTAATCCCACATTTTGTATAATTTTTTTAAAACGAAATTATTTAAATCATAATTGTAATATTATTTCTATCACATACTTTATGTGACTTAACAATTTTGAAATTACTAATCTCAAAATAAATAATAACATTTTTCCTTTTACAAAACTTTTCTCCCAAAGTATGTTGAAAAGGTCAAGAAATAAAACTTTATAACCCTTTTCTAGTCTAGTCTAATCAACCAAATACTCATCTATCAACAAAATACATTTACTAAATAACTTTATTATTATTATTATTATTATTATTATTTAATCTCCGTATAAAAAATTATAAATTATAATCTCAAACATAATTTATTTGCCAATCAAACTATTCCTAAACAATCAATCTTTTCAATTTTCTTCAATTAATTATTGTTGGTTTAGTATTCCCATTAAAAAATTATATTTCATTAGATTAATCTTACTAATTATTATTTATAAATATTATAATTTATGTAATTATTTAATAATAAATATTATATTAGAAGAAGAAAATATTTTTAATTTATTAAAATAAATAAAAGAAAACTTTTGTATTTAATTAAAATAAAATAGCGAAATAACTTGTTTTCAATCAAACAAAGGAGCTTATTGGCATAAACCCTTTTGTTCTCACTTTCCACCTCTTCGTGCTCTGCAAAAACCCTACAAATACTGCCCTTTCCATTCTCCATTACAGAGATATAGAGAGACTCTGTGTGTTCGCGAAGCGAGTAAACGGGAGAACTTCACCGGCTAACACTACATATATCCAGGTATAACAACCGGTTTTTTTTTTTTGTGCTTACTGATTCATGTGATGATTAGTTTTGTTTCTATATTTCAGTTTTACGTGCGTATCTTTTCTGTTTTATGATAGATATATAGGGTTTTGAATTTTTGAGCTTATACATTTTGTTTGCTTTTTTTCAATTTTGGGTTTTTGACAGTTTGTGGGTTCGAGTTTGATCAACAAATGGAGGCTGCAGCAGCGGCAGTAGTGCAACAACCTGTCCCTGCTCAAGTTGTGCGTATTTTAACCTACCCTTTTGAGATTTTCGGTTTTCTGAGCTTAGTTTTGTATTGGGTGTTTTGTTTTTCATGGGTGGGTTAGTGTTGTGTATGTCGTAGTATTAGACTTATTGATGTATTGTATGGCTTTTGGTATTGTTTTCATCTGTTGTTTATTATGTTTAGGTGATCCCACTATGATTTGTTGATGTTACGGTTCCTTGCATGTATGCTCTGCACCACTTTATTATTAGTTTGTCATGTTTACTTCACTGCTGTTTTTCCTTTCTGTAACTACTTTTCTTTCGGAAACAACCTCGAAGTAGGGGTAAGGTCTGGTTACACTCTACCCTTACAGACCCTGCTTTGTGGTGTTTCACTAGGTATGTTGGTGGTGGTGGTGGGTCAGTATTGTCAAAGGCTCACTTAAGCCTGAGGCGTAAAACATGTTGAGCGCTTTGCTTAGCAGGCACTTTTGTGCTGTCATCAGGGCGCAAAAAATATTGATATTTTGTTTTATCAATAATTAGTTTTCAATTTCTTTGTCCATGTGTTTGCTATTCATGCTTATAATTATTAGTCTTGGACGTCACATACATATTTGTATTGTTTTCTCTATTAGCCTTATTGATGTATTGTTGTTTATTATGTTTAGGTGATCACATTATGTTGATGTTACTGTTCCTTGCATATGCATGCTCTGCACTACTTTCCTATTACAGTTGTCATCAGGGATCTGTGGCAACTTTTTTCTTGCCAATGAGTGTAATTCGGAAGAGGCAACAGTAAATAGTTGATATTTCGTTTTATAAATAACTAGTTTTCAATTTCTTTGTCCGTGTGTTTTGTTATTCATGATTAGTTTTGGACGACACATACATATTTGTATTGTTCTCTCCATTTGCGCCTTTCTTCATTAAAGCCCATGTGTTATTTGCACTTTGCTATAGACCTTAGAGCTTTTTATTGTGCTTTTCGCCTGTGATAACACTAGGGTGAGTTGGATACTGAATTTGGGCTCACCTTTTTTTTTTTTTTTTGGTTATAGGTTGGAAATGCTTTTGTGCAGCAGTATTATCATATTCTGCACCATTCTCCTGGACTGGTTTTTAGGTTTTATCAGGATATAAGCAAACTTGGACGACCTGAAGATGATGGCTCAATGAGCATCACCACTACCATGGAAGTAAGCTACTGAATTAAAACTAATGTGTATTTTCTTGTATCTGGTCATCTTAGTTTGCTTGGAAATTTGTATGTCAGATAGAAAAAATATAAAAACTTTCTACTCTTAGAGAGTCCCTAGTTTGTATTAAAAGATAAATTTGTTAAGTGTTCAGAAATAACTTTTAGTGTTACAGAGCCCCTTTTTTGTCTTAAAAGATGAATTATTGAGTATGGGAATGAAACATGTCCATGTTGAAGAAAATATATAATGATGAGTTATATAACCAATGGCAACTAGTTTGAAATTGAGACATTGATGTAAAAAGGTGGTAAAGGGGCTTTAACTTTTTTACCGTTGTTGAATTGATTTAATTCTGCACTCAGATGGGTAGTCATGGCTTATGGCTATGTTATACCATGACGAGTATGCTAAGATTGACTGTGCAGGTCTTTTTGGTTTGGGTATATAGAATTGAATTTGTGTAATATCTTTTCATTACAAGATTGATCTAGTCACGTTTCATTACAAGATTGAGATGGATTTGACTCCTTACTCTGCTACTCTGTTATTCCCTCTGCTAAGTTTTGACTTTTGAGTTTAATATGATAAAGACCCTCATTTTCTTTTGTTTGATGTCAAACACATAGGCAATCAATCATAAGATACTCTCACTAAACTATGGGGACTTCAAAGCGGAGATTAAGTCTGTGGATTCACAAGAATCCTTTAATGGGGGAGTGCATGTCTTTGTGACTGGATCTTTGACTGGGAACGACACCTTGATTCGGAATTTCTCCCAAACTTTCTTCCTAGCACCACAAGACCGAGGATACTTTGTTCTGAATGACATGTTTCGATATGTAGAGAGTGTCGATCAACATGATCTCACCGAGGTCCCGGAGACTGATGTGGTGGCTCCTGTCACTCCTGAACTAGGTAATTTAAGCTGATAGATTATTTATTAGTTTGATATTGTCTTATATTGGCAACTGAGGATTGAAGTGTTTACTATCTGTTGCAGCTTCCCCTCCAGTGCAGCAAAATCACATTTCCGAGCAGAGCACACTATCAGTGGAGGAAGCTAATGAGGGAGAAGTTTACAATCCACCTGAGAATGGTGATGTGCCTGTTGAAGAGGAAGTTCCTGTCGCTGAGGTCGTTGATGAAATGCAAGACGACTCTCAAATAGTAGTTGAGTCTAACATCAAAAGTGAAGATGCTCCTAAGAAGTCATATGCTTCAATTGTAAGTTTGATTGGGAAAAAATATCACTGGAAACCTATTGCTTCTGCATGTTTCTTTCAGAAGGGTTGAGCTAAATTTGGAAAGGTTAACGTACAAGATAGCTGTAAGATTCTGTGGTGCTGTTTATTGAGTACAGATTAGATCATTTGCCAAGTCTATTTGATTACTGCCTTGGTTTCTGGCAAAGATGATTTTTTAGAGGGGAGAGGGCAATGATGAACCTTTTTTATGCTAAAACAATTTGTAACTTTCTTCCAGGTCATGCATCTCAAGGGAAGTGCTGCGAGTTTCTCCTCTCCTCCAGCACCTGCTTCTCGGAAGCCCATGGCAAGGAGTGTTGAGCAAGTGAATCAACCTCCTGTAACAGCAACTGTTCGCCCAGCTTCCAGCTCAAATTCTGTTGATAATGTGAATAACCAGGAGGGAGAAGGTATACAACTGTGCTATTCTGCTCTGCTTTCTGTCTCTTTATAATTTTGTCTTGCTGTTAATATGTTTGATTTCTTGTTCATATGTTTCCTTTAATTTCTTCCAGTCACAGATGGCTATTCAATCTACGTAAAAGGTCTGCCTCCGACTGCAACTGTGGGCTTACTTGCTGATGAGTTCAAGAAGTTTGGGCCTATAAAGAATGGAGGCATTCAAGTTAAAAATAACAGAGTATTGGTTTGCCCTAAGCCCCTAACATTCTAACTAATTAAGGAAAAAAACCGAGTAGATTGTTGGCTAATAGATTCTTTTGTGTGCTCACTGATTTTGTTAATAATTGTAATTGGTGGATGACAGCTACAACGGTTTTCTTATGGTTTCGTGGAATTTGAGGAGGCAAGTGCTTTGCAGAAAGCTATTGAGGTATCTTCAGTTTCATTCTCTAGATATCATGTCTGATTTATTAGTTAACATAGATGAATATGACTGGATAAAACTACAACAACATACTGCAATGTTTCATCCCTCGTCTGAAATTCATACAGACCATCTCAAGATCACATGTGATTTGAGAATAGTTAGAATATTTCTGTGTTTCCTAATTGTGGCTTCTGTTATCTTCTAGTAAGAAATCACAGTTAATTTACGTTAAGAGAAAAAGCACAATCAAATCCTTTAAGCGTTTATGAATAGACATACCTATCAAGTAGAGCTACTGGTCAGGGTAACATAAGAAGGGTTGAAGCAGCAGAAAAAAGGGTTTTCCCTTAGGCAGTCCACTTCAGCTTATAAGTGAGAAAAATTATGCTAGCAAACATGATTGCTTCTGTTAGAATAGGAATAGGTTTATACAATCCTATTAGAATAAGAATATGTTTATACAATTCTATTAGAATAGGAATAGGTTTATACAATCCTATTAGAATAGGAATAGTAATAGAAATAGAAATAGGAATACTAAATAGTATCCTACTTGGTAAAGGATTGTATTCTAGGGTCTATAAATAGGGTCTCAATGTAATAATGTACACAACAACAATTCAATAATATTCTTTTCCTATATTTCTCACATGGTATCAGAGCCTCTACGAACTTGGTAGAGAATTAAAGAGCTTCCGCTGCCGGCGGGTGGCACCCATAGATGCTGCCCGTCTGGCCAATGATTATGTTAACAAAAGTTGGGTCACCGTGTATCTATCCGGTGACTATTTTCTTATATCTAATTTGTGTAGCACCGTGCTATCATTCCGGTGACTACTTTTTCATATTTAATTTTTGTAGCACCGTGCCATCATTCTGGTGTCTACTTTTTTGTGTAGCACTGTGTCATCATTCCAGTGACTACTTTTTCATATATAATTTGTGTAGCACCGTGACATCCTTCCGGTGACTACCTTTTTTGCATATCTTATTTGTGTAGCACCGTGCATCTTTTCGGACTACTTTTCATATTTAATTTGTGCAGTACCGTGGATTTTTTCGAACTATTTTCTCATATCTGAGTTGCATAGCATCATGTGTCTTTTCAGTGACTCCTCAGATTTGATTTGCATAGTTCCATTCGTCTTTCCGGTGACTCCTCAAATCTGATTTGCGTAGGGTTGTGCCATCATTCCAACCCTACCCGTTTCTTTTTCAGTAGGGTCGTGCCAACATTCTGACCCTACCCATATTATTTCTCTTTTTCAATGGGGTCGTTCCATAAATTCAAACTATCCTATATAATTTATATTTTCTAGTTGGGTTGTGACATCATTTCGACTCTACCCATATAATTTTATTTCTTAGATTGTGACCACTTTTAGCCATCAAATCTAATACTCCGGCATATGAGCATGTTCTGGCTAGTTTTTCGGTGACTTGTCTGATATCAACTCGTCTAGTGATTCCAACATGATCCATATACTTTACACTAGATTTTGAGCACTTACGACCGTTGCATTGTGAAGAAGTCTATATGGAGCAACCACCTAATTTTGTTGCTCAGGGGGAGTTTAGTAGCCTTGTATGTTGATTACGTAAGTCACTCTATGGTCTGAAACAGTCTTTGCAAGTTTGGTTTGGAAAGTTCCAACACTGTAATTTTATCACTCTGTGTTTTATCGGCATTATGCATCAAATTCAGTATTTCATGAGAAGACCAAGCACATTGAGATTGATTGTCAATTTTGTGAAGTCGAGTGATCAACTTGCAGATTTCACCAAGCCCCTCATCAGTCCTCGTGTTAATTACATTTGTAACAAGCTAGGTACATGAATTGTATGCACTAGCTTGAGGGGGAGTGTTAGAATAGGAATAGGTTTATACAATCCTATTAGAATAAGAATATGTTTATACAATTCTATTAGAATAGGAATAGGTTTATACAATCCTATTAGAATAGGAATAGTAATAGAAATAGAAATAGGAATACTAAATAGTATCCTACTTGGTAAAGGATTGTATTCTAGGGTCTATAAATAGGGTCTCAATGTAATAATGTACACAACAACAATTCAATAATATTCTTTTCCTATATTTCTCACAGCTTCTACCACTACACTATAAGTATTCAAACAGTACTTGCCGCCAGAGCTGTCACTCTTTATTGCCACTAGTTTCCAACTACTATGTCATTAGCTCGAAGTGCCTTGTTGAGTTATCTTTTCCTCGTCATCTTTTTTGACAAGGTTTTTCCTATATTTCAGGCATCTCCAATTTTAATTGGAGGACGTCAAGCTTATGTTGAGGAGAAGAAGTCTACCAATTATCGAGGCAAGTTCAATATTATCTGAAATAATTGGAGAATGACTAATCTGTATAGTTTTTTTTGGTAACAACCGTAAAAGATTACCATACCATCAAAATCAGTACAAATAAAGAGCACCTATACCTTGTAACAGAGATTAGGCTTCCTACAAAGCAAAAAACTTAATTACAAAGTAAAAATTGAACAAAACTCCTACAACTCTGTGTTTTCTTTGAACTACTAAGAAATTGTAATCTCTCTATAATCTCCTTTTTGATCTGTGTTGCCGCCTCCTTTGTATGTACAGACTTGCCTTTGAACTTTTTCCAATTCCTGGCTCTCCGTATGTGATATATGATTGCTCCACAAGTTGCCGCAATAGTCTCCTTCTTAACTTTCTTCCAGTGCTTCAACATTATTCTTTCCAGTGTCGGCTTGATCCCATTGTTTTGCAACGCTATTCCTGTCCATTGTTCCACCTCTTTCCATATAGCCTGTGCCCACTCACACTTCACCAATAAGTGCAGTGTAGTCTCCATGACCTTCTTATCACAAAGGCAGCAATCAGTGTCCTCAACCTGAATGTGTAATTTCAGTTTCCTCTCCTGCGTGAGTAATCTTCCTTGTACAGCCAACCACGTTATGAATCTATGTTCAGGTAGAGCCATAGATGTCCACACTAGCTCAGCAGTTCTCATACGTGGTTGTTGGCCAATTAGTGCTAAGTAACTGCTAGTGATGGAATATTTTCCAGTTTGTGTGAGCATGTATCTTCCTTGGTTATACCAACCCTGCATTTGGAGCTTGATTGCATTTAGCTTCCTCCAATACCAGCTACAATCTACAGGTGCTCTATGATTCCATATTGATAGAAATTTTGAAAAACTGTGTAAATGACACGCAGTAGCATTATTGAGAACAAGAAACTGAAAGGGTGTTGTGAATGGCCTATGTTCTGGTTTGTTTGTTTACTTAAAGCGAGGATAAAGAGCCTCAGTGTGTAATGCTGCCTGTTTCTCCAGATTAGCATCTATAAAGGGAAATATCTAAGAACATTTTGAAGGATCCGACATGGGTGCGGCAACATTGAGAGTCCGAGCAACTTAGGTTGTTACAGAGGTGTTGCCATATGATTACTATGTTTCAGACATTTGTGCTCTTCTTTCCACAGACTCAGATTATTTGGTTGAGACTGGATTTGTGCTGTCACGAGCCTGTATATCACATTCATCAATTCTTACAGTGAATTTGTATCCTGCTTTGGTGCTACCTTTCTACAATCTGCAGAGAACATATTCTTATTCTCTTGAGACTGATTGAGATCCCTTCTTCTTTGTGAATCAATTTTCTTTCATCATTTCAGGTCACTTTAGAGGTAGATTTCCATCTGGAGGGGGTTCTGGTTACAGGAACTATGGAGTAAGAGGTCGAGGAAACTATGGAGGTGGCAGGGGTTATGCTCGAGATGATTTTGGCGAAAGAACTGAGTTCAACAACAGAGGTGGACATCGCGGATGGCCATCTAATCGTGGGGGTGATGGATACCAATCATACCAGCGAACTGATAACCCAGGTGGCTATGTTGTGCGAACGAATCGTGGTGGGGGTATGCTTAATGGAACTGCCAAACACATACAGGGTATTGCTGCACCTGTAATGTAGTAGCTCAGTTGTTACATTGGCATTTCTAACAGTTGACGTCCAGGTAGAAGTTTTGTCAGGAGCTATGAAATTCTCTTAGAGCTCACTTTGCTAATCATCAATTCCCTAACATTCCCTTTAATTGGTATAGGTGGGGTAGGAATTGACTTTTAAGTAGCTTTTGCTATGCAGTATATAGAGTATCTAAGTCCCCCATGAAGGGTATCCAGTCCTTTTTGCTCATGGTATGAGTTGAACTATTTTACTTTGAAGGCTGTGTTTGTGGCAATGAGTTTATATTAGTCATTTATCTCTCATGGATTCTATTATCAGCTATCAACAGAGGATACTGTCCATCTTCACATGCTCCCTTTTGCACTTTCTTGAAATGTGATTGATTTTGTGAATGTAAATATTGGCCCTTTGCAGAAATGCAGGTAAGGTTGCATACAATAGACTCTTGTGGTCCGGTCCTTCTCTGGACCCTGCCAATAGCAGGCGTTTAATGCACCATGCTGCCCTTTTAACATTGGTCCCTCGTTCCTGCATCATTTTTGTTTTCTACTTTTAGTTGGGCCTTTTGTTATGTCAAGAAATATAAAACACAGTAGATGGGAGGTGGGTTTGTGCGATCTAGTATGTTGAAAAATGGAGGATTGAAGGAACAAAAACTCCAATTAATCTTTAAATATAGATGTTTAACTGTCTACGTGGAAACTAACTATGTGTTTTTGTCACTGATGGATTTAGGATTTGAACTTTGATGGTTGCAACTTTAAAATATTTGTTGCAGACCTTGGTGTTTTCCCCCATATATATGTATGTCCTTGTCTAAATAGAATATTGCGATAGGTTTTGTGACGGATTAATCAAATCAATAAATAAGTTTCTAAAATTGAATGGTAAAAAAGAAGAAGAAAAGAATAGTGTAAACACATTATCATGCTAACAAGAACACATTATAATAGAGTACTATGCTTGAATAAGATTTAAGGATTAAAACAAGAAGTAATCTACTTGACAAGTAGTGTAGTTTTCTTCAAAGCATATTTAATACTAGAAACATTGTTCACCTTATATCTAACTACTCCGCCTATCTAAGTTCGCTCTGGATAAAGTAGAAACGTTACAGTAGGTTGACAGCTAGTGTAAAGCTAGCCAATTTACAATGAAGCCTCAAAATGCATAATTGTTGTAGCTAATTATTTTCATAGAAAGGCAATTTTATGGGCTCTTTATTGTACTCGTGCTGCATTTTTAGAGCATTCAACATGCACCACCATCTGACATTTTTAAGAGTCTGAGCAACTTACATCACCACAATGCACCTTCTTGTTACTCTTTCCCACATGATGTAGCCATCCAAAACCTTTAAATGCCTTTGAAATCTTGACAAGATTAGGCCTTCCCATGCCCAAATTCATTTTTCCAGCTGAAAACTTTAAGGCTTGTAAACAACACAAGTGATCATTCATTTCTTGTTCATCCTCATCATATTCTTTCAACTCTGCTTTCTTTTTCATCTTCTTTACATTATTGTCCCTTTTTGTCTTGTTTTTTGTGGTGTCTATTTCATATTTTTCCCACAACATGTCCATTCCTTCACTATTGCTATGACTAGCATTGTTCCTTTCCTCAAATAGTTTGCATGCCAATGTCCTTTTCCACTCTTTTTCTTTCCTCATTGATCCATAACCAATTCCCACATTTTCAACTTTTTTTCTAAGTTCATTTCCCACAAGTACCTCTTCCTTTTGCTTTTCAATCATTTTGTCAACTTTCTTCACTTCCACATTATGACTCAAAGTGGTGTTTTCAAATTCATCTACTTCTTTGAAACAAGTTTCCAATGTCTTCTCCTCTATGACATGCTTAGTACTCTCAATTTCACCTTGATTTTCTCCCAATTGATCAAGAATAGGGGATTCACTTTCCTCAGCTGATGTATAGTCCAAGAACTCGACATGGTTTTCTTGATCATCAACTTTGGACGCGCCAAACACAATTTTGTAGGCTTCAAATTCCTCCAACTCGTCGAGTACTACTTCATCATCCTTTCGTGTTAATCCTTTCGTGTTGTTGTGAAGAATGAGACTTGGAGAGATGGTAAAAAGGGCAAGGAGCAAAAGGGTAATTGTGATGAAGAGTGGAGAGAGGAATGAAAGGAGTTTAAGAATGTAAGGAGAGAAGAAAATGAAGTAAAAGAAGTAGAGAGGGTGAGAGATAATGAAAGAACATAAGTAGAAGAATTTTGACTTGATCAGTTGAAAATAGTGAGGTCTCAGTTCCGACATTTTTTTCAAAAGTCACTCTCGTAACCTGTATAACAATATTTTGTTTTGAGCATCTATAGAATCAACTACTCGATTGTGTTGATTTACATTTCATTTGTTCTTAAACCAGTTGAGATTGTAAAATGGCTTAATTAAAATCAACACTTCTTTTGTTGTTGGAGATCCAAAGAATAATCTCCTGACTCGATCCTAGTCAACTTATGAGATGTCACATATGTTGTAATAAGAAAGTGAAGATAGTGGAGAAGAAGTGAAATTAGTATATATAACTTAAATTCATTTATAATTTGAAGATGGAAAAGAAATGGGGAAGAAGGAGAAGTTGATGATGATTTTGGTTTATACTAAATTTGTTTAGGTATAGAAATGTTTGTGTGATTGTGAAAGTAAATAAAGGAGTAGAATGTGGTGTGTGAGAATCTAAAAAGTAAAGTAGAGGGAGAGAACATCATTTCCTTTGAAACTTTCTATAACCACCAAATATTCCCTTTGTTCCGTACTTTTATTTGTCACTTTTAGCATATCCAATTTTTTTATTTTCATATTTTGCCCTCAACATTAATTACTTATTTTCTAAATTTTCTTTTCAGAAATTTAAGACTATTTATCAATTAATATGAATATTATAATAAAATATTTATATTAATCATTGTTTATTAACAGACGTGTAAAGTTCAAAATAGACCAATAAAAATAAGGAAGGAAGTAATAATTTGCCTTTTTTTTCTCTTGAAGTTTTTGCCTAAACTAACCATGGAAGGAGAAACATCAATTCCTTTGGAAACTTTTCTTTTCCTTAACCACCAAATAATTTGTTTTTTTTTTCACTTGAAAATTACTTATCCACACTGATTGGAAATTGGAATCTTTATTTTCTGTTTTATTACTCATATACTAAAAATAATTGGAATAGATAGTTTACGAGTTTAAGTTTTATCAACTGACGATATAAAATATATAGATATAATCAGATCACTTACATATAGAATTTATATGATAAAAATATATACTTAGAGAGTTCATAATACTAAAAAGATAAAAATAAAATAAAATAAATGTAATAAAGAGATGGTTATCGGTTCAAGAACGTAAGATGTTCCTGCTTTTTTAGGGTTAGAAGGGGTAGAGAAAATGCCCCGAGTCAATATTCGAATACCAGGCGCTACGGCGCTGAAGTAACCCATGCAGGGCTAAAGAAAGAGCCAAAAAAAGATAAGTATAACAATAATAAATGATCAAATTTCTCTATTTAAATCCATTATATTCTAATCTCACACACAAAAATAACTTCATCAGTGTAAGTTTGCTCATGTTGCTAGTCACAAACTCGAATAAAAAAAAAAGAGTACGATATGAATTGCTTACTTTGGATGGGGTCATCATTTTCATCTAAGGAATTTAAAATTTAAAAAAATATATACACGAAAAATTCAAGAAATTCAATATATATAAATTCTAAAAAATTAAAAAATCTTAGACTTTATCATTAAAGTGTGAAAGGAGGTTAACATAGAGTGTGATTGAGGAGGCTAATTTGATGCAATTTCACATGGAAACCACTCAATTTGTACTCATTGCATTACCATATATACCACACCTTTTTATTTTCCTTATATTATATAAAAAAGAGTGTCCCACAATGTCTGTTGTTACCATTTTAATTATTAACTTTGACTCTCCCTCTACTTATTTGGATGGTTGTTATCTATGATATTGTATTTTATTATTAGTTCGAATATAATGTTTGTTTGAATTATTAAATTCATTGTTAGGTTATAATGAAAAGTTTCATTATTTGTAACGATTGATTTGGTGTAATCATGTTGTTATTTTAATTATTAATTCTCATTTTGCCTTTACTTATTATTTCAGATTTTATTCTTTATCCTATCTTTTTATAATAGCTCTATCTCGTAACCTAATTTTTTTTAAGGTTTGTCTTTCAAATTATTGATGTGTGACATTATGTAATGACAAAGAATGATACAATCTATCCAAATGTTATATTCATTAAACAAAATGTATAATATAAATAAAATATAATACGATATATTATAAAATAATACTGTAACAACTAATTAACCTACCTAACAGAAGTCTAATGAGAACTCTGTTGTTACCATTTTGTTGGAAAACATTGTTTGTGGAAAACATCTTTCTTCCTATCAAACACGTCATTTAGGATTTTAAATTATCAATTATTGTGACTTATAGTACTTTTTACGTAGTTTACAAATATATAAGTTTCATTTTAAAATTTTTGAAGATTCCATGAGCAAATTCTCGGTCAAACTTAAACTGTTTGACTCTTGAAAAACGAAATGTGTCACATAAATTGGGACGGAGGGAGTACTTATTTTCTAGGTATGCCAATGGATATCCAACTTTTAAGGGTCTTTTTGATATGGTTTTTGATTTTTTTAATATCGAATTATAAAAAATTGAAAATATTTTTCTTCATATCAAACACATCCTAAATATATTTATTCTGCTCACAATTGCTCAAGTAAACAATTTGATATATATATATATATATATTCACCTTGTTATTTTTTCATGAGTTCTTCGAATTCTTTTTTTAATTTATTTTGACTTTTAGCTTTATTCTCACCTAAATATTTATGGAATTATGAATAATAAAAGTATTTATATTATTCGTCGATTATCTCATTTACTAGCCATGCATACTAAATAAAAGTGAATTAATATCTTATTCATTTTTATTTGATTTATTTTGTCAATCTTTCCTATATTCAATCCATTCATTTGTCACTCCTAGGACTGGAGTAACAGGAAACAACTTTTTGATCTTTTTTTTTTTTTTTTTTTGGATTTTTAAATCTTGAGTGCAAGAAAAAAGAAAAAAAAAAAGATCAAAAAGCTCCTTTATTCAAACGTGATATTTGCCCTAAAGAATGATTTCACAATAGGGGTGGAGCAAGAAATTTACGGTACAAATTTGATTGAACTCGATAATTTTAATTATATCTTTATCTTTTAGTTCTTTTATTAAATATATGCTCAAATTTAATTAAAAAATTGAAGGACTAATATTTAATTTTACTATTTTAAAATTTTAATTCTAATTTTACCTGTGTTTCATGATTGAAGCATCCAAGGGACCTATGTAGAAAAAAGGTACCTTCCTTCACTAGTTTTTCAATCTTTGTCCCCTATATGATCAAACTTTTATCTAGTTAGTCAATTATATTTAACATGTGTATATAATTACTATCTCCTTTCCTAATTATGTATCCAAAAATGATAATAAAGAATATAAAGTGCATAATTACTAGTTAGCTTAGTGCTACAGCTAGTTAAGATGTACACATCAACATCATTAAAATTAGAAATTTTCTAATTTCATACATTGTTGGACAATACAATCAAACTGAGAATTTACCCTTTTAATCTTCCAAATAGATTTCATCTCAATTTACACGATACCATTTAATTAAGTACAAAATTTAAGAAAGAAATAAAAAAAAAATGAATTTAAAATCAGAAACAAATTCTAGATGGTTGTATGACTAATAATCATTTTATTAAAGATAAATAAGAATTTTAAAATCAAGTTGTTTCTAATTAAAAAAAAAGGTGACATTTTATTATGTGATATATAATAATTGGAATAGAAGGAATACTTTTTCGATCGTCCCCACCTAAAAAGCTGGAAAGGTACCAACTGCCTACGTGGTGTTAAACCAAAATGCTAAAAAGAACGAAAGAAAATTCCATAAGAAGTATCATAAGAGAAGGAAGAAGTCCATATAGGTCGAATCTTAGCGTAAATAAATGCTAGTTGACTTGAATGATCTAATCAATTCATTTCACTTCAACAACTAATCAAAATAGTCTATACTTCTTCTATACTCGTACAAGGAAGGTGGGCCGTGAAATTTTTTTGGGAAACTTATATAAATATACTATATTAAAAAAATATTTACCATTTATAGCAATAACATTTTTTTTTCACTTGATCACTTTTAATACATTTATAATACACTTTTAATACATATTACGGAGAACAACATATAAAACAAGTTTTATTCATCGATAATACATTCATTACACATTTTAATACACTTATAATACACTGTGTCAATTTCTTACCAAACAAGCATAATATATTGTAAAAAAAACAATTATAATACATATATAATTCACTTTTAATACATATTGCAGATTTAACATAGTATTGCTATGTATTGCTATAAATGGTAATAAATAAAAAGTATCGCTAAAATCAGTAATTATTTTTTTAAAAGTATCAAACCAAGTAATTTTTCCAAATTGGTATCTAGACTAGCCCATTTTTAATTTGGGCTTTATTTGGGCCGGTTCTTTTAGTCCAAAACTCAGTCCTCCTCATTTCATTTCGGGTCACTCAAATCTCTTCGATTCCGATCAACTTCACCAGAAGATTGAAATCGAGAATCAATGGATTCCACGCGTAAAAGTAATTCAGAAGAACAAGTTTCATCTTCGTCTTCACCATCATCAGATTGGAAGGAACGGTTTCTTCTGCCGACTCTCTTAGCTGGTACTTTTTGGTTCTCACAAAAAACCCTAATTTTAATTCGATTTACGCTTTTAAATTGATATTTTGAGCTTGTACGTGATTAAATTAATCGAAATACAGCGGAAATGAATGAAGATACTCATAGGCGAAGCTGGAATTTCAATTTTTATGGATTCTGAATTTTAGGACGATTAAGTGATAATAAGTGAGTGCTAAAGTTAATATATGTATAAATTTAATGAATTTATTAACACATATACACTGTTTGAGCAAAACCTACCGGATTCCTGCGGGTACTTTATTTAAATAGTCGATTTCAAACTTATTTGAGATAGTTGATTGTTCGTCTAAGTTTATTGTTATTTTGATATTTATAATCCTTTTTTTTTCGTTTGGAATTAAGGGGTGGCTGGTGGAGGAGCTGGTTTGGTATCAAAGCATCGGAAAGTTCATGGCTTAGCAAACATTTGTGCAACTTATGCAACTAATTTTGCTATTGTCACTGCATGTTATTGCGGTAATCTCGCTCTTGTACTTGTTTTAAAATGTTTATATCCCTTAATCATGTCATGTAGATTTACGTTGAGTTGAATTTGATTTTGGAAATACGGTTTGGGGGAGACGTGTTGTTTCCAAGATATTGAAAATGTTAGGCCACGTACTGTGTTGTTTTAGCACTACTGATTGAAAATATTAGGCCACATTGTGTGTTGTTTTAGTACTACAGATTTGCTGACTTTCTCCGACCCTTCCCTTTTTGCAACATTTTCCCCCAGCAACATCAAAATGGAAATAGAAAAGGGCCAAAAATATCACTATGAATTAGTAAATGATGTAAAATTATCCTTCATCCACCTTTTGGCTCAAAGACATTCGCAGCGTTTTGCTATTGTTAAATTTACCCGTCAATCTGACAGTAGCAGATTCCACCTACTGGGCTTCTATATTTGTGTAATGTTCTATTTTTTTGGTTGATAAGTCCAGCTTCTTGTTATTTCACAGTTATAAAAACTAGTCGGTATAAAGATTTATGTTGCTATATTGCACATATGTTAGATCCTCTGTTTATTAGGAGTCCTTTTATTTTGGTTAGATTTGAATGACAGGAGATTTACCGGTTTAGAGAATAGAGAACCCCTAATTATTGTTAAAAGGTAATCTGTTAGTGTTAGTATGAATAAACTTGACTGGAGCAGAATGGAGACAAAGTATTCAAGCCAACTTCCACTAACATGGGAGTGATGTTACTTGATTGATTGTATTATTAATTTCTCCTCTATGCCGTTTATAATTTGAAAGCCAATAAGCTGGTATTTCTGTTCAGATTTCTGCTTCATATGTTTGCCATCTTTCAGATTCCACACGTGACAATCTTTATTCACCTCATCTGCATTCCTCACATAGTTTATTCTTGAACACTCTACTTTTTTGGTGATGTTGGTAATTTTTATCACAAATTTAGCGGTCATCTAGTCTAGCTGTCATGAATAAACTCATCTTCTTACAGACCATTCTTCATACTCTGTGACATGTTCAAAATGTTTATAACAGCTTTATCCCACAACGAATTAATCCACACAATTTATGCAGTCTTCATTGCACGATGGACTCTCATACTGCAACTATATTGAAAAACCTGGCTCTGGACTTGGGACATTGATTCCACTTAAGATTATGTATTACTTAGAAGCCCATGGGTGAAGTTTAGTCAAAAGAGTGATGATAGCCACTTCACTATTTTGGTGCTGTTTGTGTCCAATGACACATAAGACTGAAGTTAATATATGTTCTTTTATATTTGCGTGGCAGGTGCTCGTGAGTTCGTAAGAGCAAGTAGAACAGGAAAGCCTGATGATCTGCTGAACTCAGCAATTGGAGGTTTCGGTAGTGGTGCTATACTTGGACGTCTGCAAGGTAAAATTTGCAACTCTCTCTCCTCAATGTGTTTCTGTGTGTGCGCCAGCCGCCAGCACATCACAGGCTCCAGCAGGATAGGGCTAATTTAGACATTACCTAGACATGTGGTCTTTCTTTTTAATGACATCACGTGTTTAGATATTTTTTTTTAAAAAAGGGTTATGTTTATAAATAATCATGGTACAAATAGTTTCACTGAGCTAGCCTCTTTGCTGTTTTTTCATGGTCATACTTGTTTGCAAATCACGGCAGCTAGATTTGTTCACTACTGCCTTTTTTTTTTTAAATCTTTAACGGGAAAAAAGTCTCTTACATGTCCATTTGAGAGGAGACCAAGATTGGAGGAACCTTGCATCATATATAAAAAAGATCAAAAAAATGGAAGAGACTCTTGGCAAGAGGTTCTTAGGAGAGTAATATTTTTGCATTCCATATAAAATGATTCCGTGGAGAGTTGTTGGAATTAGGATGTTGGATCCAATGTTTTTTAATGCCAGTAGTGTTTGGGCCTTACACGATTATTCCATTGGGTACTGTTCCCACCAGCACAAGTATTGGGTAACTTTGCCCACTAAGGTCAGGTTTAGGTCAATAGGAAGAGTTCACCTACTGGGATTTGAATTTGAGACCTCGTTGTTCTCCTCCCACCTTATTGACCACTAGGATACACCCTTGGGTGGCAAATCCAATGGGCCTCATGCTCAATCTATGAATCCAAGCATCAGTTAAAGTATGCTGAAGATGTTTTGTTAGATCCAACTTAAAAAACGAGCTAGTTATGCTCACTTTAGTTTTTGATCCAATGATTATGGGAAGTATTTCGATTTTCTGTAGTTTGGTGAACAACAGTCACTCTATGCATTTGTATTTCAATATTCTGGTCATGCAACATAACAACTTCCCCAGTCTCAAATTAGTTGGGGTTGGCACTGACATTTTTGTGATATCAATTCAAAATAGTTGTTCTCAGCACATCTACTTTTAAAGTTTATTATGGCTTTGATACTATTGAGAGAAGTCTTGTATGTATCATACCTTTTATCAGTTCAATGTTAAGTTGTATTCTCATGGTGCAGAAGCTTTGTCCGATCTCATAGCTACTTTAGTAGTTTGCCCAAACTTAAGTAAGAATCTTACTGGATAAATACCTGTGCAAAGAGACCAGTTAAGATTGCCTTTTACTCTGCAATCTGGAAAATGCTCTACGTTGGTCATCTTTACCCTTGCTTATGTTTTGATATTTTATTCATTGGATTTGAAGCCCACAACCGAGAGTTTTTCGGAAACAACCTCTCTACTTCCACAAGCTAAGGATAGAGTGTGCCTACACTCCCCAGACCCAACCTGTGGGATTTCACTGTGTTTGTTGTTGTGGTTGGATTTGAAACCCACAAAGTCACAATGCATATCAGAAGCTTTGTGAACTTTTTTGCCCTTACTTTCTATGCGATATTGGAATATTTGTGTATTGTTTTTGTAACTCTTTTTCTTGTTACCGATGCTACTAGTTGAATCAAGTTCAGTTTGGATGCAGTTTGAGCTGAAGTTTTTGATGACAGCATTTCATCTATGCTTTTCAAATCTATTGTTTTTTATGACAGCATTTCATCTATGCTTTTCAAATCTATGATTTCCTATATGTTTCTCTCAAGACGTACTATTGATCGTGCTTGATCTCTATGAACCTGATAAATAGCTGACCGGTTCTATTGGATGATTATCAGGTGGTCAACTTGGTGCTGTTCGTTATTCTGTCATGTTTGCAGTTGTGGGAACAACAGTTGATTATGCTACTATAAGAGTAAAACCAGCCTTGAGAAGCTACTACGACTCTCTGGTCAATAAGAAAGATGATTGGCTAAAACTTCCTGAATGGTCGCCTATCCAAGTTCTTGATGAGGAAGCTATTGCTGCAAAGCGTGCTCGGGAAGAGGAGCTATACAGAAGTGTCCACAATCTGAAGAAGGACTCATGATGGAGAAACAAATCGATATCCTTTGGAGACAAGATCTTTCTTTTGATTGAGACACTTAGTGCAGTTGCCTGGCTGTTACTGGCACAGATCGTAGAAACAGAAAATGGCAAGGCATCTGATGGGTGTTCAACATTTTTCCGAGCTTACAACGCAAGTTGAGTTGCACTGAAGGAAAGTACAAATCTGGAATAAATATTTGCTATGTTATGGCAAAATAACGTGTTACATAAGTGGCAAAGTTGCTTACTTTATGTTGTTGAGCTCTGCCATGTTTTTTTACAATTTAAACTAGTTTTTTTAGTACAATGCACAATGATATTTGCTATCTTCGCACTGTGATATATGACAGCTATATGGATGGAAAGTAATCGAACAGTTTCATTGGAAGAAGAGCAACTTATCCATAAGTTGAGAGACTATAGTTTGAATTTTCATTCATATTCATTTGGCTCTAGTTCACAGGTGACATGCCACCTCAACAACCCAAGGTGACGTTTGCCTAAGGTGGGCTCAAGTGATTGTGATCCAATCCATTTTAACTCAATTCATCCAAATCTGATCCGATCCACAATTTGCCACCCCTAATTGAGCTTACACATTCACGTTTTTCAGGTCCCATGCTTGTCATCATCACCTAGTAACCTCCTTGTATGTAAGCATTGAAACGGTTCAGCTTATCCCTAAGCTCACTTGCAACAACACGGACAACATCTCCGGTAGACACCATCTGTATCATACCGGTCTGATCAACAACAAGAATGAACAATCATTGCTATAAGAGAAAAATTGCATGCATATTGTTTAGGGGACAAAAACAAGTCTGAAAGCCGAAACATATACTACAAATCGATTAGCCAATTTACAGGGAAGACATAATTTATATAGGTTAAAGAGGGCAAAGACAACCTGGAGCACTAAGCTCTCACTATGTGCGGGTCTCAACCATAAGGAGCTTGGTTAAAGAGGGTTATCCACTATTTATAGAAGGCAACACATAGTTTAGTTAGAATTCAAAACATACACATAAAAAATACTCCTATTTTACATAAAACTCAAACCTAGAAATAATAAAAATAGCCTTTTATTTGTAAGTCCAGCTCGGCAGGCGCCCTACTCAGATGAATGCAGGATTACAAGAGAGCAAAAGAAGTTGCTTCAAACAAAACATGAAGCAGACAGGGAGCTAACAAAATTCAAAAAGTTATCCACACTATTTACCGGGGTAAGAAAGTGCCAACTGAATAGACATTGAGTAGAATAAATGCCATATTAGGCTCTCCAAGTGAAGTTGTCAAGGATGATGTGTTGAAAGTTGTAGAGTATTTTCACCAGAACGAACATTTTGCAAGATATATACATGCAACATAGACTGCTTGCCTTAACTCCCACGAAGAATGGAGAGTTGATGGTCAAAAACACACATGAACTATCGTTTTTTTTGCGAGTTTCACACCTCAACTATAAGATGTTTCCTTTTCCTACATGAACTGAACTACCATCTGGGTATTAAAACACACCTCAACTGTCAACTATTCTCTTTTTCTACCTGAACTACCACCATCTTTCAAGTAGAAAAAGGGAAAAATGATAGTTGAGGTGTGTTTTAATACATAGAGGGTGATAGTCCAGGCAGAAAAAAAAAACAACTGATAGCTGGTGTTGGGGCTTGAAACTCGCGAAAAAAGTGATAGTTCAAGTGTGTCTTTGACCGTTATCTCAAGAATGGAACTAAAAGTTGAAACATTTCAAATCCATTAGTTTGATGAATAGTGTATATAAATTATAGCCAAATCGTTGGCAAAAAGATCGAAGCAATTTATCAGCAAATTAGTGGACAGAAAACAGTTGGTATTCACTAAAGTTAGGCAAATAATGGCGCGCCAATGAGGCTTTGGATTAAAAAAAAAAGAAAAGATAAGGAGCACTTGGCTATTGATAAAGCTGGACATATAGAAGGTGTACAACCATGTAAATTGGGGATTTTTAATGAACTCGATGGTAGATATGGGGTTCGGAAACAAATAGAGAGATTGGATAAAGTTTTACACATTCACTGTCAAATTCTCAATTTTGATAAGTGATACACCAGTAGGTTCTTTCTCTGCTCATAGGAGTTCAAGGTAAGGTGACCCTCTTTCTTTTTTACTTTTTATTTTAGTCATGGAGGGCCTTGGTAGAAAGATTAGCAAGGCAAACACAGCTTGACCAGATAAAATGCTTTCAAGTAAATACAAGAGGCCAAGGATCAATCACATCTCTTGAATCCAGATGATACTCTTAGACTGTGCGAAGCAAATGAAGAGCAAGTATTGTACCTGAAGACAATCTAATTGTTGATTGAATCTGTATCAGGTTTACAAGCAAATTATGCAGAGTGACATTTTCAAGGTAAATCACACAAAGTTGGTAGAACACCTGGGATGCAATGTGGAACAATTATCAACCAAAGAGTTGGGAATGTCAATCTGGAAAAGTGTGAGAAGACACTCTCATATTGGAAGTAATATTTATCCTTAGAAGGAAGACTAGTCCTAACTAATACACGATACCAAAAATGATTTTTAGCGGCAATTAACTAATGCCAGTAAAGGCTTTAGCACTCTTTGTTAATGTACATATTTATTGCCACTAAAAGCAGTTTTTGTTGTAGTGATAATGTCTTGGACACTCTTTCTATATATATTATGTCTCTATATCCAATACCCCAATACTAAGGAAGAAAGAGATGAGTTCAGGGAAGGCTTCTTGTGGCAAACTAATAGAGAGAAGAAAGCCTTCAACCTCGTCAAATGAGAAATTGTGACAACAAGGAAGAGGGAATGCGACATAGGAGCAAGAAATAAACAACAAAAATCTCCTTATGATGTGAGACTTTGGAGGTTCTACAAAGAGGAAGAAGAAATGAAGAAGCAACTGATTGCAGAAATAATATGGGATGGAGAAGTTTTGTGATCACGAAGGTTCCTAACTATTCTTATGGAGTTGGAAATATGTCAGAAACTTATGGGGTGAATTCTCAGAGCACATTCACATTAAACTGAAAGATGGTATAAAAGCCCTTTTCTGGCAAAATAGGTGGATAGGGCACTCATGATTCGAGGAGAAATTTTCTAGGACTTTCAGCTTTGCAACAATAGAAGTGTATCACGACTGAAATGGAGGAAATGAGCCAATTTTAGCTAGTGAATGAAGGATTCAAGGACTGCAAAATGCTTTACCTGACAAGGCCAAATGGAAGGAACACAAGTCTGGCAACTATAGTATATCCTATCAGATTTGATAACCAAATAGCACTGATAAATGATATTACTAGACTTAAAACACATAAGGAAACTCACCCTCATTATTTTTTAAATCGGTATAGTAACCATTTTGTTCTCACATTAATAATGCAATAACATTTGATTTTTGAGAAAAAGAAATACGGATATAGAACTCAAAATATCAAAATTCGATATACCTCCGCAGTATGTCTGCCTAGAAACCTCAAGCAACATTCTAATTGCCATCAACTTCTGCAATTGCATTGGATGTCAATTCTTTTGCAAGGATAAAAAGGAAATTGTAGCACGGCCGAATAAACCAAGCGATAGCAATTTTCACTTCCTGTTTTCCGTGTGGAGCTCTGGTATCATGTCAAGGACGGAAGGATTCTCACTTATTTCCTTTACAAGTAACTCAGCTGTAGTTGCGTCAAATGAGAAGCCCCTTCCAGTCATTTCCTTCATTAAAGTTACCATTTCATTTATTTTCCTGCACCTAAGATATCCTCGCACGATAACATTGTAAGTGACATTGTTTGGAAAACAACCGTTCTCTTCCATTTTTCTAAGCATATCCTTAGCTTCATCTAACAACCCTTGCAAACAAAATCCAGTTATCATTGTAGTGTATATTCTCACATCCAGAAGCAATCCCATTGAGGAAAGCTTCTGAAAAATAGCATGAGCTTTATCGAGTTCACCGTTTTTACACAATCCATTAATGATAATATTGTAAAAAATAATATCAATATTTTCTGTCTTTCTTTCCAACTTATTAAAGAGTGACATAGCATCTTCAACAAGTCCGTACTTAAAATAACCATCAAGCAAAGTACAATAAATGTATAAATCAGGGGCAGGCCCTGCTGATAGCATCTCTTCATAAATTGTTTTTGCATCACCAATTCTACCGGATTCAAACAGACCTTGCAAGATAGTATTGTAGGTACAAATAGTAGGCTTTAATCCCTTTTTTGAAATTTCACGAAACACCTGCATGGCCTTGGAGATTTTCTTTTTCTTACAGTATCCATTTATTAGTATGCTATAGCTAACATTGTCAGGCTTAATGCCCTTATCTATCAAGATATCAAAAATTCTCCTCGCTCTATCTAGTTGACCACGCAAGCAATATCCATCCATTATCACATTGTAGGTGATTACATTAGGCTCAACACCCTTTTCAACCATGAGTTCCATTACTTCCTCGGCATCTTCAACTTTCCCTTCTTTGCATAGTCCATCTGTTAGTATGTTGAACGTGCGCACATCTGGATACATATTAAGGTTCACCATCTCTGAGAACAAAGTTTTAACCTTTTCCCACTGACCGAGCTTACACAAACCATCAATCATTGAATTATACGTTAATATGTCTGGATGAATGCCTTTCTGCTTCATCTCGTTCAGAATGTTGATAGCAGCATCTAAGTTTCCATCTTTGCAAAGAGCATCTATAACAATGTTGTAGATATATATGCCGGGCTGAGTGTTACCTTGTTCCATTAACCGAAGCAAACTTAAAGTCTTCTGAGTATGACCCCTTTTGCTGAGTCCATTCATTACTGTTGCATACATGATTTCATCGGGCACACAAATCTTCTCTCTCAGCAATTTTTTGAACAATTCAACAGCATCTTTAACCTTATTTTCAGCAAAGATTCCCCTTATTAGAGTTGTAAAGGTAACATTATTAAACGGAATGCCATTCTTCAAGTAAATAGATAACACCGAAAATCCAAAATCAGCACGATGCATCAGGCAATAACTGTTAATCACAATATTCAAGATGAATTCATCAACCGGGATACCCATTGTTAGCATTTCTCGAAAGAGCGAAAGGACAGCAGAGTAATGCTTCCTACTTATCATATTGCTAAACAATTTAGAGAAGTCGACAAGAGAAGGAAGAGGTTTCATTCTAACCATTTGATGGAATAGATTCACAGCATCATCTAAACACTCAAAACTACTGCTACTATTTAACCCAACTCTACCCTTTACTTTACTACTGCGTGAAGAAAAATCAGAATAGGAGATATGAAAGGAAGAGATAGAGAGAATACCATTGCATTTCCTCAGACAAATTCTGCTCATCGCCATTGCCAAAGCAAATTTCTCTCACTGAGTTGCTCAATAATTTTCAGTGTGACCTAATTTTGTAGGAATCTCTTTTAACACTTTGTTTGGATAGTTGTTCATTAGGTATGGAATTATATTGTATGTACTCCCTCCGTCCCTATTTACTTGTCCATATTTCCTTTTTTGGTTGTCCCTATTTAGTTGTCCATTTTGATAAATCAAGAAAAGACAACAAATTTTTTCCTATTATACCCTTATTTACACTTCTTGAAAATTGTAAAAGTGTATGTTGTTTCCCTTCAATTTATTTCACTTTAATTCAAATAAGTGGTTGTAATTTTGAAATGAAAAGTTGTCATAAGGGTAAAATTGTAACTTCACTGTGCTAATCATTGTTGTCTTAATCTGTGTGCCATTTCTAAAGTGGACAACTAAAAAGGGACGGAGGGAGTATTATATTGTTTAAATGAATATAATGTTTGAATATTTTTTATTGTTTTTATGTCGTTATATAATGTCACATATTTATAATTTGAGCAATAAATCTACAAGAAAAATAGTGTACGGGGTAGAACTATTATGAAAATGTAGGATAAAAGAAGAAATATGATTATTAAATAATTAAGTTTAAACCCCATAAAAATCACATATCCCCGCAACTCGCCCTGCCCCGCATTAGTTTAACAAAAACCCACCTCAACCTGCCCCGCATAACCTTAAACTTACCCCGCTCTACATAGCCTTAAACCCACCCCGCCTAACATTTGCTCCGCCCTGTTGCCATCCCTATATAAATTCCACAAATAAATTGATACTTTCTACAAATAATTATTGTTGCGTTTTGACATTCTCATCACTCTTCATATAAAAATCCTCCATCAAAATGAATTTTTTTTTCTTAGTATGTACTCCCTCCGTTCCTTTTTATATGTCATCCATTTTTATAAATAGTTGGACTACAATACTTGTCATTTTATAAAATCAATGCATAAATTACCATATTTTTCCTATTATATCCTTGATAGAGTAGTTAATTAGTCTTGAAACTATATGTTTTGACTAACCTAGGAAATCTACAAGTAATTAATGGGGAGAGTACTTCATACATTGATTAACTACTTTCTTTATTCACTATTCTACCAAAATAAACTTAAAAATTTAAATAGTCATTAAACATATTCATCATTTATTATAAAGTTGAGTTAATAAAACATTAAATAGGGTAGAAGGATAAAATTAAATCATTTTTTAATGCAAGCGCAAAATAAAAATGTGACATATAAAAAGAAACGGATGGAGTATCTCTTTATTGGAGAAAGTACTGATTGAAATCTTACCAAGAAATCAAAAAAGACTCATTCAAATAATTATAGCTACGAATAATTAAATCCAAAAAAACAGGTCATTACGGAAGGATTGAGATTGTATCTCTTTCTCTTCTCAAAAAAATCTGCACTTCCCACAAGGAAAAGAAGCAAATTGAAGGAGCACTTGGTTACATATTCATTGTCCCTTTTATTTGAATGATACATGCTTATATGAAGTGACATAAATAATAAATTCTTTTTTACTTTAACAAATTTAAAGATGAAATTTTTATTTTTAAGTTAAATGGGATGAAAGTTTCATATTTAAACACATACGATATAATCATGAAAATGCACACACAAAAAAATATAAGCTAAATAAGCTGAAAGCTTATTTTAAAGAATGTATAACTAAAGCTTGCAAATAAAATATAAAAAAACTAAATGCAATGAATATATGTCATAGCTATATTGATGGAAACTAATCAAACAGTTTCATTGGAAGAATAGCAACTTATCCAAAAGTTGAGAGACTATAGTTTGGATTTTCATTCATATTTATATGGCTCTAGTTCACAGGTGAAGGCCAAGTGGTATGCCACGTCAACACCCCAAGCCCAAGGTGATGTCTACCTAAGGTCGGCCCAAGTGATTGAGCTTATGTCATAATTTGTGGTTGCCGCGTGGCATGCCACCTCAAACACCCCAAGGTGGCGTTTGCCTAAGGTGGGCTCAAGTGATTGTGATCCAATCCATTTTAACTCAATCCATCCAAATCCGATCTGATTCAATTCACCCATTTGCCACCCTAATTGAGCTTATACATTCACGCTTTTCAAGTTCCATGCTTGTCATCATCATCTAGTAACCTCCTTGTATGTAAGCATTGAAACGGTTCAACTTATCCCAACGCTCACTTGCAACAGCACGGACAACTTCTCCAGTAGACACCATCTGTATCATACCGGTCTGATCAACAACAACATGTGGTTACCTGGCAAGTAACATGTTCTGTTATAAAAATTGAAAGAAAGCTTTCGGGCTTGAAAATACATTGTTATATGAGAAATATTGCATGTATATAGTTTAGGGGACAAAAACAAGTCTGAAAGCTGAAACATACACTACAAATTGATTAGATCCAAGACAGCCTGGTGCACGCGCCCTAGTTAGATGAATGCAAGATTACAAGAGAGCAAAAGAAGTTGCTTCAAACAAAACATGAAACAGACAGGGAGACAAAATCCAAAAAGTTATCCACACTATTTACAGGGGTAAGAAAGTGCCAACTGAATAAACATTGAGTAGAATAAATGCCATGTTAGGCTCTCTAAGGCACTCCAAGTGAAGTTGCCAAGGATGATGTGTTGAAAGTTGTAGAGTATTTTCACCAGAACGAACATTTTGCAAGGAATATACATGCAACATAAACTGCTTGCCTTAACTTCCACGAAGAATGGAGAGTTGATGGTCAAAAACACACATGAACTATCGTTTTTTTGCGAGTTTCATACTTCAACTATAAGATGTTTCCTTTTCCTACATGAACTGAACTATCACCATCTGTGAATTAAACACACCTCAACTGTCAGCTATTCTCTTTTTCTACCTGAACCACCACAATCTTTCAAGTAGAAAAAGGGAAAAACTGATAGTTGAGGTGTGTGTTAATACATAGAGGGTGATAGTCCAGGCAGGAAAAAAAAACAACTGATAGTTGGTGTTGGGGATTGAAACTCGCGAAAAAGTTGAAACATTTCAAATCCATTAGTTTGATTAATAGTGTATATAAATTATAGCCAAATAACTGGCAAAAAGATCGAAGCAATTTATCAGAAAACAGTTGGCATTCACTAAAGATAGACAAATAATGGCGCGCCAATGAGGCTTTGGATTAAAAAAAAAAAAAGATAAGGAGCACTTGGCTACTGATAAAGCTGGACATATAGAAGGTGTACAACCATGTAAATTGGGGATTTTTGATGAACTCGATTGGAGATATGGGGTTCGGAAACAAATAGAGAGATGGGTTAAGTTTTACACATTCACTGTCAAATTCTCAATTTTGATAAGTGAGACACATGTAGGTTTTTTCTCTGCTCATAGGAGTTTAAGGTAATGTGACCCTCTTTCTTTTTTACATTTTATTTTAGTTATGGAGGGCCTTGGTAGAAAGATTAGCAAGAGAACACAGCTTGACCAGATAAAATGCTTTCAAGTAAATACAAGAGGCCAAGGATCAATCACATCTCTTGAATCCAGATGATACTCTTAGAATGTGCGAAGCAAATGAATAGCAAGTATTGTACCTGAAGACAATCTAATTGTTGATTGAATCTGTATCAGGTTTACAAGCAAATTATGCAGAGTGACATTTTCAAGGTGAATCACACAAAGTTGGTAGAACACCTAGAAGGCAATGTGGAACAATTATGTTTTTTAAGAGGCAATTACTAGTGACAATTATATTTTAACACTCTTTGTAAATGCCGCTAAAGCCTATATCGACATTGGATTTAATGGCAATTAATTAATGCCGGTAAAGGCTTTAGCACTCTTTGTTAATGTACATATTTGTTGCCGCTAAAAGCAGTTTTTGTTGTAGTGATAGTGTCTTGGACAGTCTTTCTATATATATTATGTCTCTGTATCCAATACCCCAATACTAAGGAAGAAAGAGATGAGTTCAGGGAAGGCTTCTTGTGGCAAACTAATAGAGAGAAGAAAGCCTTCAACCTCGTCAAATGAGAAATTGTGATAACAAGGAAGAGGGAATGCAAAATAGGAGCAAGAAACCTTAGGATACACAACAAAAATCTCCTTATGTTATGAGACTTAGGTTCTACAAAGAGGAAGAAGAAATGAAGAAGCAACTGATTGCAGAAATAATATGGGATGGAGAAGTTTTGGATCACGCAGGTTCCTAACTATTCTTATGGAGTTGGAAATATGTCAGAAACTTATGGGGTGAATTCTCAGAGCACATTCACATTAAACTGAAAGATGGTATAAAAGCCCTTTTCTGGCAAAATAGGTGGATAGGAAACACATGATTCGAGGAGCAATTTTCCAGGACTTTCAGCTTTGCAACAATAGAAGTGTATCATGACTGAAATGGAGGAAATGAGCCAATTTTGGCCAGTGACTGAAGGATTCAAGGGCTGCAAAATGCTTTACCAGACAAGGCAAAATGGAAGGAACACAAATCTGGCAACTACAGTATTTCCTATCAGATTCGATGACTAAATAGCACTGATAAATGATATTACTAGACTTAAAAAACATAAGGAAACTCACCATTATTATTTTTTAAATCGGTAATATTACCATTTTGTTCTCACATTAATAATGCAATAACAATTGATTTTTGAGAAAAAGAAAAACGGATATAGAACTCAAAATATCAAAATTCGATATACCTCCTGAGTAGGTCTGCCTAGAAACCTCAAGCAACACTCTAATTGCCATCAACTTCTGCAATTGCATTGGATGTAAATTCTTTTGCAAGGATAGAAAGGAAATTGTATCACAGCCATAGTGCAGCCGAACAAACCAAGTGAACAACTTTTCACTTCTTGATTTCCGCATGAAGCTCTGGTAACATGTCAACAATGGAAGGATTCTCACTAATAGCATTTACTAGTAACTCAGCTGTAGTTGTGTCAAATGAGAAGCCCCTTCCAGTCATTTCCTTCATAAAAGTTACCATTTCATTTATTTTCCTGCACCTAAGATATCCTTGCACGATAACATTGTAAGTGACATTGTCTGGAAGACAATT